TGGGGAGCCTGCGTGCTGTGGCCGGTATTGTTTTGCAAGTGGTGGCGGCGGAGGTGGTGATGAGCGAGGAGGGCAGGAGCGCAGGGAAAATCCTAGGCTCGCTCGTGCATCTCTGCCGTCGCCGAACGGCAGCCCCTCAAAGTTGGACGAAGCCCCTTACCCTTCCTAGGACAGCAGCGCGACCCCCGGCCCGCCCCGGAACCCGAGGGGACCCCCTTCTCGCCTTTTTGTTTCGCTTTCTGCAGTGCTTCTCCCCACCACTCCCCCGCCCGGAATTTCGGAAACGAGTCTCATCCTTCAGGATTCTAGGGGTTTCAGAGACCGGAAGCTTTAATTTTTAATTGCAGCTACTTTCCCCCCCACCCCACTGCGTGGACGAAGTGGAGACCGCTCACGTGTTGTGTGACTTTAAGCGCGGGGTTTGGGAAATCTCACCCTCACTTTCGGGCTACAGTAGTAATAAGCCAGGGGAAAAGGTTATGAGAGTTGAAATCAAATTGGATTTGGAAATGTTTGCGTTTGATAGCAGCAGTTTGTCGAGTATTGATCTGCTGGCATCGGATGCACGCGAAGCACTGTTTACATATTTTTATAGTAATTTTCCTTACACTTTGCAAAGCGAATATATTAACAAATAGTTTGACCCTGGTGAAGATCTGAAGACGTTGGCCTCTGTGACTAAATTCAGAGTGTGGTGAATGTGAGTTCACTTTGATGTCTTTTCCCTTCTCAACTAAAGCCGGTTAAAATGAGGAATTCCGTGAACATGCAGACCAACATTCTCTGTGTCAGCCAGCCCAGGCACTCTGGGTGGCAGTCAGCTGTATGTACTTCTTGAGAAAAGTTTAGGGATTTGTTCTAACCCAGTTGAGGGCCTCACAATATCCAAAGTAGTTTGTCAAGAAAGTCATGAGCCCATTTCCCCAGAGACTCCCTTCAGGCCTAGCACAGTTCTTCAGCCAAGGGCAAGACCAAGGGAGATCTGTGGGACTTCGGGTAGTAAGTGTGGGAATCTGCAAAGGGACTCAGCACAGTGATTTGTTTCCTTGCTGTTCATAAGTAATGGCCCCTGCTATCCTTAAAAACCAACCAACCAAACAAACAAAACCCCCCAAACCGACACGAACAAAACAGGCCAATGAAGTAGGTGGGTGGGAGATTTGCAGGCAATGGACATTTCAATCAGAAAATCCGGAGGAGAGTTTTGGATCAGGATTACGGGAGTGAGGCTCAATTGCCCAGAGTGATTAGGTGAAGGGCCAGATGGTTTTAAAGTATACGGAAATGTTTTTTAAGTTGGACTTTCATAGCATTTAAAAGGAGAACGATTTCTTAGAGTCTTTACAGAACTGCTAAATTTTGATCTGTCTAATTTTGAAGGAATTCAGCTGTAAGTGAACTGCTGTTAGCTCTGATAGGGAAGGAATCTGGTTTCAAATAAAGATACATAGGACAGAGTTTTTTTTGGGGGAGGTGCTTCTTCCTGATTTAAATATAGCTTTGAGGCTGAAGCATAGATAAATGCAGCCACAATGATTTAAAAATCATAAATACACTGAAAGTTCTCTTAGGCATTGTGTAAAGTTCTCCTGTAGATTATGTCATCAACTGTTTATTCCTCAGAAGTATACAAGATAAAAATCATAAGCATCACTTAAAACTGATGCAACACAGCATCAGTGAAATCCTTCAACTGGTAGGGATTGCTTTTGTTTGCCTAAAAGGTAGATCTTTCATCACATGAGTTGTTTAAAAACATTTAATTGTGGGGGTGGGAAGGGATGTGCATAATTATTCAGTTATTTGTGTTAATTATATAGTAGCATACTCGCTTGAAATTCTTTCTTTTTTCTTTCTTTCCAGTGGTCTTCTAACAACTTTGTACGTGAAGAAATAACAGTTTTTGTTTGTGTGTGGGCTTTAAAAAAATCTCTTTTTGTAGCCTTTTTGAATGGGCAATATTGAACCTTAAAATAGGGGGGGAAAAAGCTTCAACTATTAATACAGAAACCCAGTATTAGTTTTGTTGTTGAGATTAAACTGTTCTGGTTGAATGGCAAACAGAATTAAAAACTCAAATTTATTTGGTAAATAACCAGGCATTTGACATACAGTGGTTATTTCAAGTTAACTTAGTTCTATACATGTAAATGCACATCCTGTTTAGACTGACACATGGTTTTGTAAAAGAGAAAAATGAATGAACGCTTATAAAGATGTTATCTGTGGCATATTTGGGGTAAATAGTAAATAACAAAAGAATGAAGTTTATACTCAAGCATGGCTGCTTCCTTTTTTTTTTTTTTGTCCTTGTTGGGGGTAAGGCATGAACTGTGGGGAGAGTTTAAAATTTCATTTTCCAGCTAAAAGACTGAATTTGAATGCTTGGAGAATTTTTGCCATTATAAAGCAAATGAAAAATATAATGATTAAAAGAATATACTGTCTTCTTGAAAAACTCTCGACCTTTATTGAGTGATAGGCAGTCATTGTTTTGAAAGTATGTCCAGATTATATTAAAAATGTAATATGCAGGGCAGGATAAAACTTATTTTTATTAATCTTTTAAAATACACTGGATTTCAAATAACTTAGAACTCTAATGTTGAACACTATTTAGATTTCCAGCAGGTAAAATTGTTGGATACGATTGATTGGCGTAACCTGGATGATTCACCCAATATCTGATCATCTCTAGTGGTAGAGAATGCTATAATTAGAGTTTTGAGAGTAACCTGGAGAACTTATTTGTCTAGGCCTGAATTCAGTGCATTCCCTCACACACTCGTCACAATTTTTTAGCCTTAGAAATGTAGCTTTATTTTAAAGGCAAAGAAAGTGCTTGGCTATTTCAAATAAACTATACCCTGAACTTAGATTTGTAGATAGTTAATAAGATAAAAGTCCAATTTTGTTCCAAACGTTGTTTTAAAACACCCATTTGTAAATTGTCTACATTTGGTTTTCATATGTTAATGATTTGGGATCTGAAACTTCTTTCAAAAAGGCATTTTGGTTTATCTTTAAAAACACCATGCAAAACTGTCTAAACAACTCTGTAAATAAACTGTTCCAAATGCCTCAATTTGATGAATGAATTAAAGAATTATAGTTCCTAATCCAATTACGATCAGTTTTGTTATTCCATTTCCCATTCCAGGGTGCTTGGGGAGTGGGGATGGTAAATGATTCTCAAATGTGAGTGGGTCCTTGTTTGTTTTCCGTGTGTGATATAACAAAAACACTTGTCCCTAACATTTAGGAGGACTTTAAATGTAGCAGCGTTACTTACTGATATTCAGTTGAACCAACAGTTCATTTCCATGTAAAGTTGCTCATAAAGGAAGAGTGAAATGAAAATTTTAAGAATATGAAGGAAGGATTTAACCTTTTGCTTAAAAATAATAAATTTTTACATTGAAAGGGAGAGAAATGGAGCCCGTGAGGCTCACAGCTGGGCAGACACTCAGGCCCTTTTAGAAGTCACTTTTAGTTGGACCATATTGGGACATTTCCATGGTACTTTTTAATAAACTGGGCTACGTGCAGTGTTCCTATTTTTAACAAAAGGGAATATGCTTTTTGGGTTGTTTCCTCCAAACCCCTACCCCTTTAGCTTCCTAATGGGTGCTTTTGAATGCTCCCCTGATCAGGGGCCTAAACTTCAGGATGAACCCTTGATATCAGCCCAGGTTGCTTTAATGGACTCTTCTGAATTCCTGCCCATTTGCCCAGTTTAACCACTGGCTTATAAACTAATGAATTCAAAGGTGGTAATAACTCATTATGATTTAATTATCTAACTAAGTATTATTATTGTTGTTATTATTATTATTATTATTATTATTATTACTGAAGTTTATTATGACCATCTGATTCCTTAGAGAAAGACATGGAGTTTCAAGTGAAGCTCCCAGGAAGAAATACTTATAAACATAGGGATTTTTTTTCGTTGTACCTCTCAAATCATACCTTATAGGAAAGTAATTACTCTGCTTACGAGTAAGGATGACAATCAGTTCGGGGCAGCATATTGATAAAAATTAGGGGGAAAAGGAATGAGTTGAAAGAATATATGAAATCACCACCCTTTAAAAATCAAGCCTTAAACAAAAAAAAACCCAGAAAAAAAATGCATCTCCAGAAAGTGGCAGTGATGGTGGCAGTGGTGATACTGA